CCTAAGCCCTAAACCCTAAAGCTTGAATTAGTACGGGGCTGAGGGTTAGTGCTTTTCCTTTTGAGGCTGCGGTTGGAGGCGAAGGCCTGGGGCTTCCGAGGGTTTCAGGCTGTCGGGCCTCGCTTTGAGTTTCGGAGCTAAGGGTTTAGGGTTTAGGGCTTAGGGATGTTGAGGGATTACGGTTTAGGTTTTCGGGATCTTTAGGGTTTAGGTTTTAGGCATGTGTAGGGTCTAGGAACGTTTAGGGTTCATGGACGTTTAGGGAGTTCCGTGGAAGTGCTTGGCCGGCCAAGCCGCCAGATAGCGGCGCATGAGGCAGGTGCACAACGCGGCACCTGCCGGGACCAGGGTCTTTGTTAAGGTCCCCAAGTTTTTGCGTTTCAGGGTTTAGGTGTTATAATTTCTTATAGTGCCTAGGGGTTATAGGGTGTACTTGGGGTTTATACTATGTTTTAGAATCTACGCAGGCATCCCGAGGCCGTGAGGACCTGTCACCTCAAAACCCCGAAGCTTGAATCAACCAAACCCCTGTAGGCCCGTGCCATAAAGGGGCCTGAATAATTGGAAAGGGGGATTTGGGGCATCTTGTACTGGAGCTATGATAAGGCCCCTATGGTAGCCCTTGCATCCAACACTATAAAGAGCAGCTTGCGGGCTATGCTGCCTGAGGGATGCTTCAGGGGGAACCGAAATAATGAACAACCAATGCAGCCACTAAGCCTTAAGGGCAAGCTGACTTGTAAACCCATATAAGCCCTAAAAACTGCCTGGGCAATGGAAGCGCTCCCGCAGCCAAGGAAGGAGTCGGTGCAGAACCAGATCGCAGACGCAGTCCCAGAGTCCTGGAACTCAAGGAGGTGGCCGAGTTTAGTTGCTATGGACAAAGTGTAGGCCTTAGGTCCCTGGGTTGTGACATGTTGCTGCGCAGAAGGGCTTTGGAGGTATGAATCCGTAAACCGAAGTCTGAGCCCTAAACCCAACAGCTTGACACACTATAGGACAAGAGTCGCTGCTCCAAAACGTCGCCACGGTCGAAGACGTACGTCCTTCGAAAAAACATTCTTGGTGTTCAAAGACGCTTGTCCTGTTCGTACTATCAATACTGTTGCTGCCAGCAATCGACTGGCTTGATGCAATTCAAAGCGCTCTTCGTTTCCAGCACGTTTTACCGAGACTCTTCCTTTACGGAAAAGCTACATGGCGAAATCTGTGAGACACGGCGAGAGCCTAGCATTTCTAGCCACACTTATTTTGTTCAACTTGCGCTTGTCGCGCCGCAAGGTAGTCGTTCTACAAGGTAAGCATTCACCAGAAGTACGACCACTGTTTTCCTTTAATTTGATGTTTTGGTGGACCTGGCGGCCGGGTAGCTCGCGTGGCTTCGGGTAGACATATCAAGCCGGGCAAAGACTTCCGGCAGACAACCGGACAAAACAAAGACACAGCGGCACAGTGGTGCAATGAAGCTCCAAATTCGTTTACCAGAGCTCTAAACACAAACTAATGGCCCAGTGTCTCAAAGCTTGGCTGCCCATCGACGCTGTCCGGCCGTGTGCTGTACTCCAGACCATGTCGTGCAGCCTGAAGGATGCGCATCACCTTGGCTGGTGGGGGCTCAAGGCAATCTTGTGAGATGATTTAGCGCTCGTAGAACGATCCTACTTTCAGCTAGTCTATATTGGGTGATCTTGGGCGTTTCTGAGTCTTCGACAATTTCATCGCCACGCTTGGCGGGCAGACATTTCAGGTTGTAGGGTTTCGGGGGTTTAAGGTTTAGAGTTCTTCCTCACGAACTTAAGTTCGGACTCCACTTGTTAGTTGTCTGTGCGTCCCTGTTTTGGAAACAAGTTGAGTTCGTTAACAAGCACAAAATAAAAACCCTGGACCCCAAACCCCAAGTCCAAGAAGGTCGGCGCAAACCTTACCAAGCAAACTTATGTTACCTCGCTGTATCCCACGAAGAAGACCTTATACCACAGTTGTTCGATTGACGAAACCGCAAAATCAAAACATAAACAACACAATAAGCACAACCAGCAACTGAACTTAACTAGGCCCTAAACCCCAAACTCACAACCCCAAAACCTAAACACAAGACCCTAAACCTTACACTTGCAAACCCTAAACCTCAAGATCATGGGAGCCTCCTGCTCAGATGCCAGGTTCTTGGCAAAATAGGCTGGGACTTCTTTCCCGGAGCAGCTCCGGAAGGTCTTGAAGAGCTCCTTCCGGAGCTCAGGCTGGCTGTAAGCCACTCCAAGGGCCAAGGGCTACTCTCAGACACTGTGAAGGCTCCCCAAACCCCTAAACCCTACCAAAATAGGGGTATGAAACGGGCCAATACAGGGTACTATAACGGCTGCCAGGAGAGCCCCTTCAAAGGATGGGGGCTTTAGGGTCTTAGAGCTTGGGGGGTGCAGGGTTCGGGGATAAGGGCTTGAAGCGCTTGTGGGTTTAGGGTTTTCGGGGTTTAGAGGTGTAGGGTTTAGGGTTAGAGTGGGAGTGGATTTCATGTATAGAGGCCTTGAGAGTTAGAATTGGATTTTGGCATATACTGCATGTATGGGGCCTTAATGGTTTCGAGTAGGGTTGGTGTATACTTACGTATAAATATTATGGGCTTCCCGGAATAATCTTACCAATTCTTCAGGCTTCTGTATTCACTCTTTCCACAGGGGACTGTTTCAAGCCATGCTTAACCAAGTCTCATACCACGACGTACCCAAATTAACAACAGTTCCCACCTAAACCCTAAACCCTACACCCTATACCCTAAACCCGAAAGCCAAAATGCTAAACCTGCTACACCCTAAAGCCAAAAGCCAAAATCCTAAACCCTAAACCCAGAATCCTGAACCCCTAAACCCTAAACCCCAAGAAAGATGTTTTCTGTTGTATCAGACCACCAGCGGTCTGGAGGCCATGCTTCGTGGGCTCCAGGTCTACGACGAGCACCTTAGAGTGCTCAACGCCCAGATAGAGAAACCGTAAACCCTGAACCCTAAACCCTTAAATCCTAAGTTAAACCCTGAGCCCTTAAACCCTAAAGCCCTAAACCCGAAACCCTAAACCCTTAAAAGCCGAAACCCTTAAAAGCCTAAACCCCTAAACCTACAGAAAGCCCCAAACTCCCCAAACTCCCTAGGCGCTCCTCAGAGGCATCCCTGAAGGCTTCTCCTCTCGCGGCCCGCTTCAAGGAGCGCCTAGGGTTTGTTTAGGTGTCTGATGCTTCGGATCTGAGGTTTTCAAGCTTAGCTTTGGGTTTAGGGTTTTAGGGCTTTAGGGCTTTAGGGGTTTAGGGGTTAGGGATCTGGTGTGGAAAGCCCAACTGGGGCTGGTTTCGGGTTTAGGGCTTAGGGTAGATGTTGACGTTCAAAGTGGAACAGCGGCTCCTGAATTTCGCCGATACCGCCGGTCTGCTCTGCCTGAGGACAAGGGCAAGTCTATTCCCAAAGCCCTAGACCCCTAAACCCTAAACCAAACCCCCACACCCCTAAACCCCCAAACCCTAAACGTTTAGGGTTCAGGGCTTTGGGGGAAGCCAGAAGTTGCAGCCCATGATCCCTGAATGCCCTAAACCCTAGACTATCAGAATAGGCAAGAAGATCACGACACCCCCGATCCTATGTTCTAAGTGTAGGGCCTTGGCTTTTGATCCCACCGACTCCTTCTCCTATACCCTCAAACCTAAACCCCACCTCATACTCCTAGTCCTATGCACTCCTATCAACTGATTGGCCTCATAATTCTGCCAGCGCAACACCACAAAACCCTGCACCGGTCAACTTACAGCTTCTGTTTCATCATGTTCTCGAGGGTTTGGGCTTCAGGGGTCTAGGGTTTAGGCTTCAGGTCTGCGGTTACACCTACCCCAGGACTACCAACATTCACATTTGCGTTGTACATGCTTCTGACTCAAATGCTTCTATCGGGGTTAACAGTTCAGGGCTTAGAGGTTGAGGCTCAACCTTGAGGGTTAAGGGTTGAGGGCTTAGGGGTTTAGTTTAGGGTTTAGGGATTCAGGGTTTAGGGCTTTAGGGTTTAGGGGTTTTGGGTTTAGGGTTTCAAGCCAAGTCTGACTTGCCGTGGTTGCAACTGCCCACTGGCATTGATTAGAAGAGACAACACTGTCACAACTAGCACCACTACCACCACCACGAATAACCATAACAGAAATAAAATGGACAATCGTAAATAATAGTAATCCCAATATAACATAACAATGCAGTCAATCAACAGATATAGATATAGATATAGATATAGATATAGATATAGATATAGATATAGATATAGATATAGATATAGATATAGTTCTCTAAATTAGGGTCCCTTTTGGGGTCCTTTGTATAGTACTGTATTGGGGACCTAAAAAGGGGCCCTAATTTAGAGAACTACCCATGTACTAATAAATTAATGAGTTAATTAGAAGAAGTATCCCTCGAACCTGAAGCGTAAACCATTCCTCGAGCTGAAGCTATGCACCATGCCATCCACTGGCCAGCCTGCGCGCAGGGTGCCCAGTCCTCGGGTTTAGGGTAGGGGTTTAGGGTTTCGGGGCATGCGGGGTTTGGGGGAACCGCCCTGAAAGTACCCTTTTCGAAGATACTGGCGGGCGCGAGGAAAGGCTGGAAACCGACATCTTAGAGTTTCGCCTTGAGCCGTTTAAGGGCTTCGGGCGATGGGTGCAGGCAGGGCCAGTCGTAGCCTCTGCATCGACTCTGGAACCCCAGAGAGACTCAGCCGGGAATCGATCTCCCCCTCCAGCTGGCTCTCCATGGCCATCGCCCCAGGCTCCATCTTCCGACCCGAAGTCTTAGAAAGCCCAATAACGTAATTAGGGGCCTGAATAACTTAGAATAGGGTTTTGGGGTATGTTGTACTACTGGCATAATAAGGAATTTAGAACAGGGTTTTGGGGCCTAGTATACTACAGTTATAGTAAGGACCCCCAAAAATACTATAGGTAAATATTTAGGCCCCTATATTAGGACCCTCAGATTAGGCTTGTGAGGGCTTTGAGGGCTTTGAAGCTTTGAAGCCTACGGTTTAGGGTTTGAGGCTGCGGGATGAGGCCGGAAACTGGGAGTTTGGGGCAGCGGGTTTTGAGGTACAGGGCTTCGAGCTTAGTGGTTCAGGGGTTCAGGGGTTTAGGGGTTTAGGGGTTTAGGGTTTAGGGTTTCGGGCTTAGGGTTTGGGGCTTCGGGTTTGAGGGTTAGTGGGTAATGCCCAATGTTTGGTGTTAAGTGGGGTGCACTCCATGGACCTCTCCATACACGTGGGTCAGAAAGAAAACTACAGGGGTTCCGAAAGGTACGTTATGGTCGAAATATATGCCGCCATGCCGCTGAACCCCCAAACCCTGCTACCTGGGCAAATAGTCCTAGAACCCTATCAGCTAGGCTTGCAAATCTCAGCCTTGCAGAGTTCTGGCGTCAGCATCGGGCTTAACCCAACCAGCCCTATAAAGACCCTACATAAACCCGACAACTACCCTAAACCCTAAACCCTTAACCCCAAACCCTAAACCCCTAAACCCTATATCAAACCCGAACAACCCTGTATACAACCCCATCAATCCCAAAGGCCAGAAGCCCTAAACCCTACAAGACCCAAACTTCTACGGAACCCTATAAAACCGTATACACACCCTATGAACCCTATAGGCCCTAAGCCCTAAACCCTAAGCCCCTAAGCCTACACCCCAAACCCTAAGCCCTTAAAGCCAAACCTTTTGGACTGAGGCCTCCCGGCGCCCGGAATCTTTAGCTCGAAAGGGGGATCCCCAGCCCCGAAACCCCCCAGATTCGGGCTTTAAGGCTTTAGGATTTAGGGTTTAGGATTTAGGGTTTAGGGCTTTAGGATGTTGGGTGCTTTTTGGAGGGAGCGTTAGGTTATTAGGGCTTTGGGGTTGTAGGGTGTTGGTTTTACGGTTTGAGGCGAGGGCCTAGATAAAGAACCAGGGGTTTGGGGTTCAGGGCATTAGGGCTTAGGACTTTTAGGAATGAGGGCTGCAGGGCGTTATGGGGGTTTAGGTTCTGCATTCTCCAAGTGACAATGCCTTTGGCTCCTTCGCGAGAGCTCCAGACATGACCAAAAGCACAACTACACCAGCAGTGGTTTAAAGTTTGGTCTGGGTTGCGCAGCCCCCCAAGTACCCTCCTTTCTTTATTGGGTAATCCGGCTTTACAGTGGGTTCAGAAGAGGTAGTTGGACTCTAGGCATAAACCCCACCAGAATCACTAAAATCTGACGCGGCATCTACGTGACAACCACATTACGCACGGGAACGACCTCTGATCAACCTCAACGGCCCTACACCCTAAAACCCTAAACCCTAAAACCTTAACCTTGAGAACCGACCCCGAGCCCCAAAACCTCGATCGAAAATCCCTAATGCAACGCTTAGAATACTCTTAACGGACTTCTGAAAGCAACCGCCTCGCCCGTGCACCCTTCTTTCCACACTTCTGGCTTCGGTACATAGCTCTCAGCGGCCCAACCCTGGCGACGAGACGCAAAAGTCCGAAAGATGCTTGTATGAGGTTTTGGAAAGCTTCTTCATGATCTTTGGGGTACTTGCTTGGGTCCTTAAATTAGAGATCGCAATTGATCGAGTATCTTGGGTTCTGTTTTTCAGGATCTCCTGTTGTCTGAAACTCCTGTTCCATGTGCCCGTTTGGACATTAGCGTGCCCTTGGATCAGCAGGTCCCATATCACGATGACACTATGAAGGTTGTCCGATACCCTTGCTGGCATCAGCATAGCCTCGAAGGGTTTTGGGTTTAAGGTTCAATGGTCGGCGGCTAGAAGCTCGAGAAGAACCCGACACCCCCAGCAGAATCTGTGCAGCAATCATGTTTTGCCTCTTGCCGTGGCATGTGAATACACCAGGATGTCTGGCTGTCGGTGGGAAGACCACTCCAAAAAGTGGCACGCGTCGTGGTCGGGTGCAATTCTGCAGGCGACGGCCACGCGGAGATGGGGTGCACAACCGTTCTGCGCACGCACATCTGGGAAAGGCTGTTCTGACTGCAGCCGGCGGGCCTAATTGCATACATAATATGTCATTGTGTCAACCGGGAAACTGGTCATGGCGGTGAAAGTAGTTGAGTCGTAGAGTAGTAGTAGTCGTCGTCGTAGTAGTAGTAGTATAGGAGTAGGAGTAGGAGTAGTAGTAGTAGTAGTAGTAGTAGTAGTAGAAGTAGTAGTAGTAGTAGTAGTCGTAGTCGTAGTAGTAGTAGTAGTAGTAGTAGTAGCAGCAGCAGTAGCAGTAGTAGGGGCAATAT